AGCAGTCCTCTCGGGAGCCCAAGGGGCAAGAGCACGCGAGGGGCGCGGGAGCCTCCCCCACCCCGGGGCTGTGCCCTGGGTGGTTGGCACTTGGGAGGGGCCACCGTCCGCGAACACTTGGTCGCATTGTGTCGGGCAGCGCCTCCTCCACGCAGCATCCTTGGAGGTGGCCGGTGGTGCCAGGACTCCACTCAGGCCTTGGCCAGCCTCCAGCAGTGGTGTCCTGACAAGGCATGCTCCTGGGGGAGAACCTGCGGTGTGGCAGTGCCCAACCTCCCCCTCCCCAGTCCCTGTCCTGCCCACCCCTCAGGCCTGGGCTTGAGGCCCGGACTTTCTAGGCCCTCTGACCGCCGGCCTCTGCCGTGCATGGCTTTGGGGGACCCCGGCCCCAGGCACTGACGGGTGAGCAACGGTCCTCCTTCTCGGGAGACCTGGGTCCTGTTTCTGCACCTTGGCCTTCTCCGTACCTTCCCCCCAGCTCACATCCCAGGCAGCAACAGGGCTGCAGCCCCTGAACGTGCTGCCAGGCCACGCGTGGCGGGGGTCCTGGCCACCGTGAGTGGGGGGAGCCCCGCTCCCACAAGTCCACTGCACCCCTCCCCCACAGACGTGATCTCATCCAGCTGCCGCCCCGGGAGGAGGGGCGGGGGCGGGGGGCTGGGCGGCCTTCGCAGCAGCGGGGTTCCCCCACCCTGCCTCTGGCCTGGGAGAAGCTGAGGCCTTGGGCGGGTGGGGTGGGGGCGGGGCTGCGAGCCCCCGGGGTCCCGGCCCTGCAACGGTGGGCGGGCGGCGGGCGCATCTGCGTCCGGGCTGCGGTCCTCCCAGCTCTCCCGCCAGGCGCCGCTAATGGCCTCCCGGCTACTGAGCGGCAGCCGCGTCCTCCGGGCCCCGCCCCCGGCCCCGGCCCCCGGCGCGGCCCTCGGCCCCCGGCGCTCGCTTGCTGCTGGCAGCGCAGCCGCGGCTCGGGTTTCGAGCTGTTGCGCAGAGCGTGCGTCTCGGCCTCGCGGGCCGCCGGCCTCCCTGGCGGGCCCCCGTCCCACGGCCAGGCTCCGACAGACCCTCGGGTCGCCCCGGCCGCCTGGCCTGGGAGGGGCCCGATGACACCGTGGCCTCACAGGTGGCCGTGGGGGGGCTGTGGGTGTGGCGGCTGTGACCTCAGGGCGCCCCTGGCTGCCTTTGCCAGGCACCACCTCTCAGCCAGGCCCGCTGCGTTTGGGTGTGTGTGGGGTGCCCCCCGCCAGCGCCGCCCCCCCTGGGTCCACTTGTCACACTTGGGAGACAGGGTTCCCCCTGGGGAGGGCGGAGGGTGTTGGAGGATAGCAGCACCCTCCCTTTCACTGGGGCACCTGGGTGGTAGAGGCCCTGGCCTGCCCTGTGCCCACTGGAGCCAGTTTCCTGGGCCTGGGGCGGGGCGGGGGTGGGGTGGGTGTCGCCCTAGGGCTGGAGGTGTGGCCGTGGACTGGGGCTGGCTGGGCAGGCTTGTGGGGGCAAGTTGTGCAGGAAAGGCGGTGAGCGGCCGGCCGCTGAGCAGGGCCAGCATGTGTCCCGGCCCAGGCCGCGGCTGCCTCGCTGAGGACAGGGCTCGGGGTGGGGGACTGGCCGTGTGTGGGCAGGGGCTCGGGGCGAGTCCTCCCGAATGAGGTCTTAGAGGGGCTGTGGCTGGGATGTGTGAAGCAGCGTAGTGGGCCTTTGGCACTTAGCAAGGGGGTCCCAAGCCTGTGCCCACCTCCAGCATTCCCAGGGGAGTTTCTGGGAGCCCTTGCCTGCAGGGAGCCGAGATTCGGGTGTCCCACGTGGGAATGCCCGCTGGACCCTGGCCAACCCCAGGAGGGGGAGGGGCAGGTGGGTGGGGGTCTTGGGTATCTGAGGACCCAAGAGCAGGGGCAACCTCGGTGCCCTCTCCCCCTCCCCCATGGACCCCTTGGCGGGGGAGTGGACTTGCTTCTCTCTACCCCAGCAGCCGTGGAGGCACTGGTCAGGGGTCAAGGAGTGGCCTCGGAGGGGCCCTGTGCCCACACGACGTCCGACGGCTCGGGTGGGTCGGGCCAGCAGCACTTCTGTGAGGACGGCAACTGGGAGGGACAGTCTGACGGAGGAGGTTTGGGAAGGGGGTTCCGAGTTTCTCGCCCGCCCCACCCTGGCCTGGCTGGCTACAGCTGGTGGGCCCTGCTTCTGACCCCGACCCCTGCCGGGATCCCCTCAGCTGGCTTTGGTCTTTGGGGCAGGAAGAGGCCGAGTGGGACCTGGCTTTCTCCCCTTGGGCCCGTCGACCAGGACTCAGGACTCATCCTGCCAGCACCTTGTGTGGGTTCAGCTGCAGCAGGTGGCCTGGGGCACGTGGCCTGTCCTCCTCCCGCCATGGAGTGCGGGAGAGAGGAGGCGCAGGAAGGCGGGGGGTGGGGGGGGGCTCCGTGTCGGGGGAGCTGAGGGAACACTGCCGGCATTGTAATCGGAGAGGGGCAAGGGGAAGAGAGAGCCCGAGCGAGGGCGGCTGACCCCGCGCTCCCCGGGGACAGGTGGGAGAGGCGGAACGAGGAGAGAGTGAAGGATTCCAGAGGTGGGCCGGCTTCCTTTCTCTCAGACAGACACGGGAGGGAGGTGGGCAGCGGGCCAGCGCCGTACCTGCAGTTCCAATCTGCGGTCCTGACAGCTGCAGCCACTTTGGGGAGGGGGAGGGGAGGGGGGGCTCTGCGAGAGCGGAAAAATCCCAGCCGACACATCAGCCGGTGGCCGCCCGTGTCCGGTGCAGCCTGGGGGGCGGGGGACCCCTGCCGCCCGAAGGCTCGTCCTTGGGGCATGGCGGCCCCCTGGGAGAGCGCAGGCTGGGGGCTGTCTGGGCCCTGGAGGGGTCGGCGGGCTCCCGCCCCCACGGGGTCACATGTGCTTCCTGGCAGCCCGCAGGTGCTGCGCAGGGTGGGGGCCGGCTGGCCTGCGGGCGCAGGCGGCCTGGCGATGGATCACGTGGTGCCGGCAGCAGCTCGTTCCCCGGGCTGGGGACAGGGAGCTGACAGCCTGGCCCTGATGGCCATCAGAGCGTTTCCAGGCCTGCTTGGCCCGCAGAGGCGGCTGCTGGCCCAGGGTGCGGGCTGGGCCCTCCTTTCGTGCCGCCTCTGTGGGGCACTGGCACGCGGAGGCTCGGTGGAGGGGCGAGGCTGGCGTCCTGGGGAGGAAGTGGGGTTTGTGGTGGACGGGGGCCTGGCGGCTGCCGTGAGTAGCCAAGTGGACTCTCGTGGGGCTGCAGGGGCTCGGGCCGGCCCGCCACCCCCAGTCTGGTTTGAATTTCTGGAGCGGTGGAGGGTGACGGCGTGCCCCTCCCCGCCCCCTCCCCTCCCTCTCCTGCTGGCTGGCGGGCCAGGCTCTCAGCCTCTGCTGCTACCGGTGCAGCTCAGGGAGCGACCGGGCCCACTGCCCGGGCCCGAGGCTGGCCAAGCTGCAGCCGCTGTCGGAGTCACAGGCCCAGCAGCCGAGGGCCTGGCCCACGCGCCCCGTGCCAGGACCTGCCGGCCCCTGGGGACCGTCCCAACGGCCTGTCCTCTCCTACCGACTTGGCATCTCCGAGGCTCCCTCAGCCCCTTCTCCTCTCCTGCACCGGCTGCAAGGGTCCCTGACACCCATGCCCCTCCGGCCTCGCCCTGCCTGTCCCCTTCACCCCGCACTCTTCTCTCAGGCCTTTGTGCAGGGCATGCGGCCCCCTGCCCCCTGCCGCCCATCGTCTTCGGGAGGATTTGTGAGGGAGGGTGCACTCCCACCTAGCCCAGGTATGGAGAGGTGAGGCCGGTGGGTGAGCGGCAGGTGGGCCACAGACCGTCCCCACAGAACTGCACTGGTGCCCCGGGGAGCAGGGGAGGCAGGCCGGAGACCCTGGGGGGCGTCCCTGCTTGCCCGCATGCCCCTCTGCGGGTCGCGTTCTCGCAGTGTCCTCAGTGCCCCGGGGCGGAAGGGGTGCCTTTCTCATCCCCCAGGCAGACCCCCACATTCCTCCTGGGTCCTGGCTCTCCAGGCAGGCAGGTGGGGGTGACCGAGCATGCCCTCTCCCCCCCTTTGGCTGGCCAGCTGTAAGCTCCTGCAGGATTAAGGAGAGGAAATTTGGGGTTGGGTTTCTCTCTGAGTGGAACCTGCCGTTGTGACTTTTTATCCTGTTATATTTCTATCAGATTGGACACAGCCCCCTTCTAGTCCTTAATGGCTCTGGCTTTGAGAATTTCCTCCAAAATTACACCATCGCTTCCTGCTTCTCGGTTCCCTGGAGCCCGTCTGTTCAGAGGAGGGGGCGGCTCTAGCCCTGCCCTGTTGCGGTGCCCACGTGGGCCTCGGCACCTGCCCTCTCCCGGGGTCCCTGAGCCTGCGCTGAGGGCTTGCAGGGCCCGGGGCTGGCACCTGGCGCTCATGGCCATTCCCCGCCCGCTGGCCGGAAGTCAGGCTGCTGGCCAGCCTGGGGGTGCTGGGGTGGCCTGCACAGAGCCGCCCCCACCTCTCTTCTCTGCTGTGCCCGTGGAGCTCGCGCCACTAGTCTATAATTGTCACCTGCACGATTTTAGTGGTCCACCAGCTGTGCACAGCTCTGGGGAGAAGCCTGGATTGCCCTCCTCATGGGCAGGTGGGGCCTTTGGGGGAGTTGGGTGGGTGGGTGGGTGGTGGGCAGCCAGGGGTCCTCCCGGTGTGAGCAGTGCTGCCGGGGCCAATTGCAGGGCTGGGGGCAGGGGTGGGCCCCAGGGGTACACACAGGCAGCTGCCACCTGGTCCATGCCCTCAGGCCTGGGGACTCACTCTGCCAGACAGTGCCCCTCGCTTACCCTCCCCCACAGGCCCCCTTCGTGGGGCTCCGTGGGCAGAGGCTGAGGTGCCGAGGCCCTGAAGAGCGACCAGTGAGTTGCATGCCGCAAGCACTGAGGACCCTTCAGGGCACTGGGACACCAGGCAGGCTCTTGGAACGGGGGTGGGGCGAGACTGCTCCCGGGCCTGGGCTGCCTGTGTCCTGCTCGGTCGCTCGCCCTCCTCTCCCTTCACAGGTCTCCTTCGGACCCCACGCCGTAGTTCCCTGGTCAGGGGTGCTGGGCGCGCCGGCCCTGAGCCCGGGAAAGTGGGGGACCTTCCCCGAGAACTGGGTACCTTGGCCCACGGAGCCCTGAGGGGTGGGGGGGTGGGCTCGGGCTCCGGCTCAGGGTGGATTCTCGATTGCTGGAGAGGACAGTGTGCGTCCGTGTTTAGAAGATAATTGTTTTGCTTTTAATTATACAAAGTTTCCAGACTTTATATTATCGTATCAAAGATGCCAGCACATAGCGACCAGAAGAAAACCAGGTTGGGAGCCAGCACGGAAAGTTCCAGTGGGGCTGGGCAAGTGCTGGGCCAGCTCTGAGTCCCACCGCCTGTCTGTCCATCGGCCCCGCTCACAGCTGGGGCAGGGCTGGCCTGGGGGGTGCCCTCAGGGAGGCCTGTGCCCGAGTCAGGTCCATGGGGGCTCTCCGTGGATGGCCCAGCAGTGTCCGCCTCTAACTCCGAATCGCCGTCTTTCTGTCTCGGTCCTTGCTCTGCAGAGGGGAGGGCAGTGTCAGGGCCCGCGCAGAGACCAGTGCCAGCCTGCACCTCTGGGCTTCCCCACTGGGTGCTGTCTCGGGTGGTGGGGTGCTGAAAGCACCCCCCTTCCACGCTCAGCCCAGCTTCCCCAAGCGGCTTGGGGAGGAGAGTACGCTGCTGCACAGCCGAAATTGTAAAATTAAATTTCCCAGATGTTCAGGCCCCAGGAGCTCGCGCGTGCCGTCTGGAGAGGAAGTGGGGATTGGGGAGAGCCGCGCCGTATTTTCTCCTTGCCTGCTCACCCTGCTTTTCCAGTGCCACCAAGCACAGCAGAAGCCGTAAATCACGGCCAGCCAGCGTCTCCCGCAGCGGGGCCTCTCCCCCAGCCCCCAGTCTCCTGCCCGCTCCTGCCAGCGGGTCCCACAGCTGCACTGGTGTCCGAGTGGGCAGCCCCAGGGGCAGGGGCCAGGGGAGGGCAGGCAGGTGCCCGATAAGCCTTAGGCCAGTGGCAGAGCAAGTGGATCCCACTGCCCCTGAGTCTCTTTCCCCCGGGGGCAGGGTGGGTGGCCAGAGTTGCTTGATCCAACCCTGGTTTGGTCCCCTAGCTTCCAAGTTGGTGTCGGCCCTGCCTCAGTCTCCTCCCCCATCTGGCCCTGGGTGCCCTTGTCTGGTCCCCGTGGGAGCCTGTGTCCAGAGGACTCGTGGGGAGAACGTCCAGGGAAGGCCCGGCCCCGCCTGCTCCAGCTGCGCCCTCCTCCTCGTGCTGCGCCCCCCCCCCCGCCCCGGGCACGGGGTTGCGCGTGGGTTAACAGGTGCTGCTGGGGAGCTCTGCCTGCCTCTGGCCCCGCCCTCTCTGCCAGGCAGGTGTGGGTTGCACGGGTGGTTTGGAGGTGGGGGGCGCCCCATCCTCCTCGCCTCCCTTTCTGGGGACGACCCGCGGCCAACACTCACCAACTTTCTTTGGTTGCTGAGGCAGAAGGTGCAGATCTGTTTGGGCTGGGCGTTCTCGCCGTCGCGGGCGGGGGGCGGGGGCGGCGGGGGTGGAGGGCTGCCAGAGCGCGCCGCGTGGAAGAAGGCGGGCCCCGAGTGGCAGGGTTGCCCGTCGCCGCAGGCCTCACCCACCAGCAACACGTTGCCCAGGTGCGAGATGTAGCTGGAGGCCAGGCGCAGGGTCTCGATCTTGGAGAGCTTGCGGTCGGCCGGCTCGGTGGGGATGAGCGTGCGCAGCGCCGTGAAGGCCGTGTTCACGCTGTTCGTCCGGTCCCGCTCGCGCGCGTTCGCCGTGTGCCGCTGTCGGGGCTCGCGGCCCGGCCGCCCCCCAGGCCCCGGGCCGCCGCCCCCCGCCCGCCGGCCCCCGGCCCGTCTTCGGGCGCCCTGGAGGCCACAGCGCGCCGCGTGCACGCGGCAGGGCTTCTCGTCGGAGCCCGAACTCTCGCTGCCGCGGTCCTCGTCCTCCGACAGCGGGCTCACCTCGGGGTACAGGTAGCGGCCGGGCGGTGCCGAGCGCAGCATCGCGAAGGACATGGGGCCGGCGGCCGCCGTCAGCTCCGCGGCGCGCTGTGCATGCCGCTGCCGCCGCCGCCGCCCAGGCCAGGGGGGCGCGGGGTCTCAGGGCTCCCGCGGTGGCGGCTGCGGCGCCGCGCGCACGTGTACGTCCCGGGCTGGAGCAGGGCCGCGGGCCGGGCCTTTATAGCCGAGGCGGCCCCTCCCCCGCGCCGGCCCGCCCTCCTCCCCGCCTCCCAGCCCCTGGAGGCCGCTTGGAGCAGGGGCCCTCTGTCCCTCTGCCTTCTCGCGCCACGGTGAAGGGGCCTGGAGCATCTTGCTGTCTTTGGGGGATGCGGGGAAAGTGGGAGCCCCCTTCTGGGTGGTACCGGGGCTGTGCCGCCTCCTCTTCTCCCTCTTTGTGGGGGGGCAGGAGGGTCAAGCAGGACCCATGACCCGGGCCTTCTTCCTTGGCATGACCAAGTTAACCCAGCTGCCCTGGCCCCAGCGCCTAGCCACACCCTGTCTGTCTCTCCCTCCCATGTACACTTGGGCCTTCTGTGCCCGGAGGAGGGGGCAGAGAACAGCTTTGAGGGGCTGGAGTTCAGCCCCAGCTCCCTTGGCCGCCCCCTCTCAGGTTTGTGCCTGGGGTCGCCTGATGACACAGCCTGTGTCTCCTGCACCTGCCCCCTCCTGGCATCAACCTCCAGGTCTGGCCCAGGCTGTGTGTGCCCACTTTACCGGGTCCTGCCTGCGCTCCTGCTCTGGAGAAACCCCCACCAGCACCCCGTTCCCCTGCTGAGTGCTCCCGTGGGCCTTTTCTCTGGGCCACCGACCCCCCCACCCCCAGTCTGTCCAATTCAGGGATGGCTGTGTAGACTTGGGGGTCACAGGAGAAGGAAGGGCATTCCTAGCAACGGCAGGGACACGCGGGGGCACACCTGGAGGATGGGCAAGCGGGGAGAACTGAAGTCGGCAGGTTGGGGGCTGGGGGCAGGTGCAGAGGGGCAGCTCCCAGAGGGTCCTGTCCTGCTGTAAGGGGGAGGGGTTCCCAGGCTCCCGGCGGTGCTGTCTCGTTGGGGCCACTCCTCCCGGGGCTACTGTTGCAGGAAGCGGCCGCCTGGGCAGCAGTCTCTGTGCTGGGTGGAGGGAGGGTGGCGGCTGGCAGGGGCCTCGACCAGGAATGTGTGTCCAGGAATGTGGCTGCTCTGCCCGCTGAGGGTGGGGTGGGGGGCAGGGCTGGGGGCTGGGGAGTCCCTGAACGCCTGCAGGTCACAGTGCGGTGGCTTCGGCGTCCCTTTGTGGTGGGTGGGTGGGGTCTTCCCCGAGTCCCTGCCCGTGGCTACCCGGTTTTGCCTAAGGCCCCCCGCCAGGGGAGGGAGCCCATGGGCGATGAGGTCACCCTTGCCTGTGGCTGCCCGGAGCCCTGGCCAAGGAATCCAGGGGGAGGCTCCGGCGTTGGCGCTACTTCAGTGGAAAATGTGAAGGTACAGCTCCGGCGCCTCTGAGGGCCAGGGGGTGGTGGGGGACAGTGCCGGCTGCCCTGCCACGTCACACCCCAGGGAGAGGGCACAAGCCAGGGTGCCCGGGTGCTGCCCCTGGCTAGCCTTGAAGCCCGTCCCTTTGCCCTCACCTTTCCCCCTCGTCTGTATCTTTTGGGGGGCTTGGAGGGACGGGTGGGCACAGTGGGTGTCCAGTGCCGATATGCTGGCCTCCTGCCCCAGGACATCCGGAACACGGTGGGCAACGTGCCCTTGGAGTGGTACGATGACTTCCCCCACGTGGGCTACGACCTGGACGGCAGGCGCATCTATAAGCCCCTGCGCACCCCTGACGAGCTGGACCAGTTTCTGGACAAGATGGACAACCCTGACTACTGGTGCGGGCGTGGGGCGGAGACTGTGGGGTGGGACAGGGCCGGTGGGCTGGGGCGGCGCGGGCTGGGGCAGGGCCTCGGCGCTGACGGGCAGCCCCTAGGCGTACGGTGCGGGACCGGATGACGGGGCACAGCGTGCAGCTGACAGATGAACAGGTGGCCCTGGTGCGGCGACTGCAGAGGGGCCAGTTTGGGGATGTGAGCTTCAACCCGTACGAGGTAAGGGGCAGCCGCTGTCCCCAGGGTCTGGGGGCACCTGCGGGGCCCGGGCCCACACCCCTCTGTTCGTCCCCGCAGCCGGCTGTGGACTTCTTCAGTGGGGACCTCATGATACACCCGGTGACCAACCGGCCTGCTGACAAGCGCAGCTTTATCCCGTCCCTGGTGGAGAAGGAGAAGGTGGGTGTGGCCCCATCCTCCGGCCCGCCCCCGGCCACCTGCCCCCGCCCTGACCCTGCCACCTCTGCAGGTCTCCCGCATGGTGCACGCCATTAAGATGGGCTGGATCCAGCCTCGCCGTCCTCGGGACTCCACCCCCAGCTTCTACGACCTGTGGGCCCAAGAGGACCCCGACGCGGTGCTGGGCCGCCACAAAATGCACGTGCCTGCACCCAAGCTGGCCCTGCCGGGCCACGCGGAGTCCTACAACCCACCTCCCGAGTACCTGCCCAGCGAGGAGGAGGTGAGCCTGGTGCAGGCTGGGGTCTGCCTGCCCCCGCCCGCCCCGCGCTCCGGGCTCACTCCTGCCTTCACAGCGCATGGCCTGGGAGCAGCGGGAGCCCGAGGAGAGGAGGCTCAACTTCCTGCCGCACCGGTTCCCGAGCCTGCGGGCTGTGCCTGCGTACGGCCGCTTCATCCAGGAGCGCTTCGAGCGCTGCCTTGATCTCTACCTGTGCCCACGGCAGCGCAAGATGAGGGTGTGCGGTGGGGGGTGGGGGGTGGGGCTCCCGGGCGGGGGCGGGAAGTGGGGGTGGACACAGCTGACCCCACGTGCTCCTCTCCCAGGTGAACGTGGACCCTGAGGACCTCATCCCCAGACTGCCCCGGCCACGCGACCTGCAGCCTTTCCCCACGTGCCAGGCCCTGGTGAGCAGACAGGGCGGGGCGGCTGGCAGCACAGTTCCGGGGCTCCGCCCCTCACCACCCCTTCTCTGCAGGTCTACAGGGGCCACGGCGACCTCGTCCGCTGCCTCAGTGTCTCCCCGGGTGGCCAGTGGCTGGCATCAGGTGGGCCTCGGGCGCGGCAGCCCTGCCATGGGGGCTGGGCTGGGGGCCGGGTGCTGAGAGCCCATCCGCTGTGCTCAGGCTCAGACGATGGCTCGGTGCGGCTCTGGGAGGTGGCCTCCGCCCGCTGCGTGAGGACCGTGCCCGTGGGGGGCGTGGTGAAGAGTGTCGCCTGGAACCCCCGCCCGACCGTCTGCCTGGTGGCCGTGGCAGTGTGAGTATGAGGCCGGGGGTGCCCGCGCCGGCGGGGGTGGTCCTGTGCCCGGGGGCCTTCACTGGGCTCTGGCCGCAGGGAGGACGCGGTCCTGCTGCTGAACCCGGCCCTGGGGGACCGGCTGGTGGTGGGCAGCACGGACCAGCTGCTGAGCGCCTTCACCCCGCCCGCGGAGCCTGCTGCGCAGCCCGCCCACTGGCTGGAAGCCTCGGAGGAGGAGCGCCGGGTCGGCCTGCGGCTGCGCATCTGCCATGGCAAGGTGCGGGGGCTGTGGGGGAGGGGGAGGGCGGGGGCGGGGCGGGGGGCGCGGCTGAGCCCACCTCCCTTCCCGCAGCCAGTGACGCAGGCGACGTGGCACGGTCGTGGGGACTACATGGCCGTGGTGCTGGCCACCCCGGGCCGCAGCCAGGTGCTGATCCACCAGCTGAGCCGGCGCCGCAGCCAGAGCCCTTTCCGCCGCGGCCACGGCCAGGTGCAGCGCGTGGCCTTCCACCCCGTGCGGCCTTTCCTGCTCGTGGCTTCTCAGCGCAGCGTCCGCCTCTACCACCTGCTGCGCCAGGAGCTCACCAAGAAGCTGACGCCCAACTGCAAGTGGGTGTCCAGCCTGGCAGTGCACCCGGCAGGTGAGGGGGCGCCCTGGTTGGTGGGGGGCAGGTGAGGGGGCCACCAGGTCCCTACCACCGCGTCTCCCCCCAGGCGACAACGTCATCTGTGGCAGCTATGACAGCAAGCTGGTGTGGTTTGACCTGGACCTGTCCACCAGGCCGTACAGGGTGCTGAGGTGAGGTGCTGGCGGGTGACAGGCTGCTCCCTACTCACCCCCCCCACACCCCCCTCAACCTGGTCCCCCCCTCAGGCACCACAAGAAGGCCCTCCGGGCCGTGGCCTTCCACCCCCGGTACCCGCTCTTTGCATCTGGCTCCGACGACGGCAGTGTCATCGTCTGCCATGGGATGGTGTACAAGTGAGTGCCGGTGCCTGCCCGCCCGCCCGCCCGCGCCCCGGGGGGACTGTGCCGCCCACGTCCTGAGCCTCTCCCTTCCCCACAGCGACCTGCTGCAGAACCCGCTGCTGGTGCCGGTGAAGGTGCTGAAGGGGCACAGCCTGACCAAAGACCTGGGGGTGCTGGACGTGGCCTTCCACCCCACCCAGCCGTGGGTCTTCTCCGCCGGGGCTGACGGCACCCTCCGCCTCTTCACCTAGGTGGCCCTGCTTCCCGGGCGGGGCAGGTGGGGCTGGGCTGTGTGTGTGCTCGGACACTCAATAGAGGCGTTTCTCCTGCTGGCGTGACCTTCTCTGAGTCAGGATGCCTAACGGGGGAGGGGGCCTGCTGACCTGCCCAGAAGGAGAGGCCACATCACTGCGGCACCTGCTGAGCAGCAAATGGCTTTATTGGGGAGGGGGGGGACAGCGACGTGCCCACCCTCGTGGCCCCGGCCCTCCCTTGCTGTGTGGGCCTGGGGGCTCCCCTCGGGCAGGGGGCTCCTTAGGGCCCCATCTCGGAGGTTCGGTTCAGGCCGGCAAGGCCGGTATTGCGTGTAGGGGCAGCGCTGCCACGGGAGCCTCAGGCGAACTTCACCAGGCGGCCCAGAGTCTCCGCAGCTTTCACGCGCACCGCGGGGGCCGGGTCCTTGAGCAGGAGCTGGAGCGCTGGGGGACAGGGAGCCGCTGCTGGGGGCTCCTCTGCGGCCCTCTGAGAACTGACCGTCCGAGCCCGCGGTCCCGCCCCCACCCCGCTAGCAGCTGCGGCTAAGGCTGAGCCCCCCTTTCTTGGCACGCTGAGCCTGGGGGCCAGGACCCCCGAGGCTCACACCCCACCCTGTGCGTGGGGGCCGCCCGCCCACCGCCCTCCTAAGACAGGCCTCTGCCGGGAGGGCTCAGGAGCCAACGGAAAGATAGTTTTTCCTTTTTTAGTGTTTTTTAAGCTCTTTTGGAACAGTCAAGAAGTTTCCGTGAATTACTAGAGACGATGAGGTCACCAGTGACAGGGAAAAAATCCTTGAAATCCAGGAAAATCACTTAGTCCCCCCTGGTGCCCACAGGGTCAGCGCGGCCCAGCGCGCCGTGGGGGGCGGGGCCCAGGGCTGGGGCTCACCCGCCAGGAGCTGTTCCAGGTCCACCTGCGGCCGGCGCTCAGCCTCCACGTGCAGTGCCAGGAACCCTGCGGGGCGGGGGTGGGGCCGGGGTCAGGGCCCGCGCCGTGGGGAGCGGGAGGGGGGCCCAGGGCAGCCTCACCTGTGAGCATGGGGGCCGCGGCGCGGATGTCCTCCCAGCTGCTCTTGAAGTAGAACAGGCTGGTGCTCAGCAGGCGGCCCAGCAGGTTGGGGAAGTGGTGCATCTGCAGGAGGCCCTCAGTCAGGCCCTGCCCCTGCCCTGCCGCCCCGCCCCCACCCCGCCCCGCCCCTCACCAGGTGCTTGCAGGTGGTGTTGAGGAACTCTCCGAAGTGCAGGCCCCGGCCCTCCTGCAGGTGCTTCTGGAAGATGGCTGCCAGCTCCTCACACTCCAGGTTGGGGCCGCACATGCGCAAGGCGAACCT